CTGCAGAGTCAAAACAAATTATATAATAAAAAATCAAAAAAAAAATTTGGAACTGTTGATAAACCCTATCTAAAAAATGTTAAAGAAGGTAAATAAATCATGGGATTTGCCCCCTAATCCAGATCAACATAAAAAATTGATAAGTTCTTCCTTGGATCATGCCTCACTCCTCACAAAATATAATGGCTAAGTAGTTTTTTGCATAATGCTGCAAACAAACAAACACAAATGAAAACATAGCCTCGTTGGCAAAGGTGAACATGAATTATTCCTCCAAAATGTATGTGTGTTACCATTGCTAGGTGAAAGATACCGCCCACTGGACCCAGTGCACTGGCCTCAGCGATGAGTTTCTCTGTTCCCTCCTGCGTGCTGACATCACTTGTTGACACCAGCACCTCCACATCTTGACTCTGCCATTCACGCACTCGCTTTGCCTGGTATCCTATAAACAGTTATAAAGTAAACTGTGAGGAAAAACTTGTTCAAGCAGCACATGGTACACCAATCTGTATCATTGATGATTCCAGAGCAAAGCTTCAGGTTTGCTTTATGTACAGTTCAACTACAGGGCTATATACTGCAACATATGCCATTATTTTATGAGAGTGTTAAAAAAAATTTGAATTTCACAAGGTTGCATTTGTGAACCTTTTTTTTCTTCTCTGGCTTGCTCATCTCTGGCTCTCTCCCTTTCATTAGCTGTTCATATGTACAGTGCACAGATGATTAAATGCACCAATCGATCAAATCTGATTCAAGCTGTCTTTCAAAAATGAAGCATAGAGAGGAGGCAGGTGGAGGAGAGAGAGAGAGCCAAGTGCAGCCAGGAAGACTGGGAAGAAGAATCACCCCCAACATGGAGCAATGGATAACAGAATATCCAGTGCTATGCTGTATGTGTATTGTGAGCAATGCGGCCCCGTCCGATGCAGACAACTCCACAGCTGTAACTAGGCTGGTGCAATTCAAGCTTGAAACACTGAAGATGCATAACAAAGGTAAAAAATACAAAACCTGTAGGGGTTGATGCATTACCACAACACTGAGCCACTCCCCCTTTCTTTCCAGTTGTTGGATAAGAGTAATTGCTTATGAGGTGAAAATAGAATGGTCATCAAATTCAACGCTGCCTTTTAAATAGCAAAAGAGGAAGCCCCATTGACAAGATTTGACAGTATGAATATCGATACAACTTACAACTTTACAAGTTCCTAAAATGGGACAGCTTTTGACTCTGCTGCCTTAGTTTGAAAAGGCAGAGGTAATGATGTCTGATCTACTGACCTTTCATAGCACTGCCATACAAGCCAGCAGCCAGTCAGATTTACCTTTAGCCTCAGCCTACCCTGAGGCTCAGCTTTTTTATTCTTATTATACCAACCAGTCTGACAGAGCTTAAAGGCCCAGTGTGTAAGATTTAGGTGAAAGGGAAATATTGGCAGAAATTTCATGTAGAATAATCCTCATGATCTTTTCAGTAGTTTGTTTTATCTAAGTTGTATGAGTTGTAGTTTTCTTTACCCTAGAAAAGGCCCTTTATATTGAAATACTTTATATTTACATGGGAGGGGTCCTCTCTACATTAGTCCAGACTCGACAAACTAAACACCTTTTGAGTTTTTATGAAAACTGAAGACTACCACAGGTTCTTTTTCATGTTTGGAAGGGGAGGGTGAAGTGAGGGGTGCTCAGCTGCAACATGCAACTTCAACACACGATATCACTAAATTCTACACACTGTACCTTTAAATATGATGGTTACATAACTGTTCCTGGTAACCCTCCCCTCCTCTCTTCCCCATTTTTCTCCCCTCACCTTTTTATTTGTTTTTATTTATTCATTTTATTGCCATGGAGTTTGTGAAGCACTTTGTAACCTTGTTCAGATCAGTGCTATACAAATACAGTTATTATTATTAATATTATAATTATTGTGTGTTACCATTCCTGATGCCAGATCTGGAAGTCAGCACCAGTTTGTGGGCTCCTCTCTCCATCAGCCACTGTGCAAGTTCCAGACCGAAGCCCCCCAGTCCACCAGTGATGATGTAGGAGTGGGAGGGGACACAATAAGTGCGTCTGATTGCCAGAAGAGACAAGGGGGAAGCAGTTTGGACTTCTGCACCCCTTTCCTCATAACGCACCTGTGTGAAGAGAGGACAAGTAAGAGGATATACAGTATACTGATGTGGTGTACTATCAAGTAATAGACACATAACAATCATGTGAGTTTAACAGAAACTGAGGTAGAAGGCATTACCTTACAATAAGAATTGTTCAATATTCCCTCTCTAATAGACCATGACCATAATAGACCATGTTCAATTATTAACAATTTGCTGTATCCTCACACTAATATCAAAGTTTGAACGTCAGAGGTGAAACTAACCTGCAGCAGGACCTTGCCAATGTGCTTGCCCTGAGCCATATATCTGAATGCTTCCTCCACTTGATCCCTCTCAAACACTGTGGTCTTTAGAGGCTGAACTACACCTCCCATAATGCCTTCCTTCAGTAGCTGGGATACTTCTTCCCACTCCTGGTTACCATCTTCAAAGAGAGCATCCAGCAAGATGCCATGGAATGCTACGTTCTTCAGGAAAAGACCCATACCTGAAGAGATCACAAAAACATGATAATACTGCTCAGTGCTAACTCAGACTGTCTCTGAAAAATCAAAGATTTCAGTCATGACTACTTTGCATTTATTCAGTCACATCACTGCAAATTTGTTTGCAAAGCAATGCAGGAGTAACAGCATGGCAGGGTGTAAACCTTACAAACCTTAAGATGACCTAGCCACAAAACTGTGATGGAAGTACAAGAAATTTAAATAGCTGCAGTATAGTGAAATATACAATATAAATATACTATATACCATTAGACAATCTTAATGTCTTCTGATATTTCAAGAAACATGTAAATAACTTTAATACATATATATGTAAGGATGTTTCTGAAATTAGAGCAGCATCAGAAACTTGCATTTTTACTGTCGGCCTGAGGGTGTAATCTTGAGGCTTCCTACTGACCCAATGGAGAGTTGTTCGCGAGGTCAAATTTGCCGATCTCCAGGAATCGTCCATGGCGAGCTAGGCAGCGAATGCTAGCCAGCAGTTTCTCCTCAGCCAGAGAATTCAGAACTACATTCACACCTGAAGCACACACAGAAAACACTTTGTATGACAAACAAGTGTTTTGTACGTTCTAAATATGAAAATGTAGTTGAATTGTTCTTGTTCAAAAAACATAAAAACAAAAACAATCCAAAGCTATCATTTATGTATCTTGTATGCTAATCGGTACAATGAGGAAATTCCAATTAAAAAATTTGAAATGTAATCATCCAATCATAATTTTGTTGTAGCTCTATGTAACAATGTAATTTAACTTAGTGTAGTGTAGTGTGGTGTTGTGTTTTTTTCAAATCAATACTTAATTAATTCTTTATTTCAGAAATACTTTAGTCTTTAGTCAAAGTAATTCAAAGTCAACCAGAACACAACTTGTTACTGCAATATGAGAGGCTGACCTTTGCCCTGTGTGTGGAGCAAGATGTGCTGTTCAAAAGAGATGTCTCTGGAGTTAGCGAAGGACTCCCCCGAGAGCTGAGAGAACCTCTCCTGCAAGTAGGCCTGCTTCTTTGTTGAGCCTTGTGATAACACAAAAATGAGGTTTTGACAGTTATTATTAGATTTAATAATTATAATTATGACTTTTAATACACCAACTCTCTTGTGGACACTACAATCATATTTTGGTGGGTCATAATCACTGCAAAAGTGAGATTGTATCATAGCTATAAAAAGTCAACAAGTCATCTATAATTTCCTTGTTACACCCTGTTCAATGGCAATAAAGGCATTCTTCTTCTTATCATACTTATGATAAAGAAAGCATTGAATAACAAAAACTGGCCTCTCTTTAAGTGGCAGAAATAAGCTTTCATATAAAATAAATAACATTGAACAGTTTGTAATTTCAATACTAGTGCGTTTGTGAGTAGTTAAATACTAACCGACTGTGGTGAAGACTTTGCAATTCATGCTGAGTGCTATAGCAATGGCAGCCTGGCCGACACCCCCTGAGCCTGAGTGGATGAGAACAGTCTCCCCATGGCGGAGCCTGCCGCGCACCACAAGAGAGTAGTAGGCTGTGGCATAGACCACTGGCACTGAGGCTGCCTGCTCAAGGGTCCTGCACACACACACACACACACACACACACACACACACACACACACACACACACACACACACACACATGTTATGCCTATAAAACATTTAAGATAGTTATGGCAGTCACTGTTGGAAAAGATTAGACTTCTAAGGCTTAAGGCTGACAATATGAGTAACCAGGATCTCCCATGCTTGTTGATACTAGAGAACATGATTTAGGTTTGTGGATTTCCACAAATGCTTAGTTCTTTGAACTTTGAGAGATGGTGAAACACAACTTTGAAATATTTCAAAGTGATGCAGAGACATTGGATTAGTTGGCCTTACTATAGTTATGGCTCAATACTGCACCCAAAAAATTTCAACAAAGCAGCCCCTGCAGCACGTTTCACCAACATGTATGAAAATCGGTTAGTATGTGTACTATATCCAGGCTTACAAAAAGGCCTCTTGGACACATACCCTCAACCCAACATGAACTCAGCTATTTTGAATGTAATGTACAATTTATGCTTGGTTTTTGCCATTTTAATCTATTGTACTTTAATGAATTCCTCCAAGAAGATTAAACTGATCGGTTTCATTTTGCGTCAGTGTAATCTGAACACCTTCTAGATGAAAAGTTGTACTCTTTGTGAGGTTTCTGCATGTCTGTTGCATGATTGACAAATGTTGACTTTTTGCCTTGAATCAGGAAGTTTTTCCAACTTGATTATATATTGTCGAATCTGCACCAAACTTTACAAGACCAGATCCAGCTGAAATTACAGCACCCTTAAGTGTGTCATCTATGTTGAACTTGATGTGTATTTTTTACAGTTGATCACATTTTTTGTAAGGCTAAATATGAATTTCATGAAACTTCGACCATCACATCGGAAATTATTCAAATATGGGTTTTGCACATGTGATGATTATACCACTATCAAACTTCTGGAATAAAATTTTGTATGTAAGGTTACAACAACACAGGCACAACCAGCCAAACCTCTCAAACATTAGATGCAGACAGCACACTTACAACAAAAGCAATCATGATTATTGATTTAAATGTGCTTAGCTCTGTAAGGACAAACAGAGTCATTTCAATAAATTCAGTTTAATCTTATCCTATCATGATTACGTCAATTAAACCATTTATCTGTGCGGCTGTGGCTGAGGGGTCGCTTGGTCGTCCACCAACCAGAAAGTCAGCAGTACAATCCCCATCTGCCAAAGTGTCCTTGGGCAAGATGCTGAACCCCGAATTGTCCCTGATAGAACAAAAAAGTGCTGCTAATAGATGCACTGTATGAATGTGTGTGTGAATGTATGAATGGCAAACTGTACTGTAAAGTGTTTTCAAGACTAGAAAAGCTCTATATAAATACAAACCATTTATCTTCATTTCACTATCATGCATCGCTAACAAATACAATACTTGCAGGTTAAGAGGCTGGCTTCCCATAGTTCCTGCAGCCTCTCCTCTTGCCACTGCCAGCCAGACTGCCAGCCAGAATTGTACCTTATGATATGTGTTAAGATCTGTTACTTGATGTACCAGCCTGGTGTGGTAGGGTTAGGTAGCATTTTTGTTTAACACTTGTTTTCTCCTGTTTTTGGATTAGGAGTGAGGTTAGTAACTTGTCTTTTTGTTTTTTTATGTAATCTGAGTAGGTAAATTTAGGTTGCTTGCCTATAGGTTTTTTTTGTTTGTTGTTTTGCTGTTGGTGTTGTGGCTTGATTTTTGATGTTATGTTTTGGTTTGTTTTAACATCTCTCTCTCTCTCTCTCTCTCATACAGAGTGTGCACCAAGGGGCGGGGCAATCTCCTGGAGCACAGAGCACCTGGCACACCTACAGCTCATTATGCCCTAATTGGTTGGCTTCTTAAACCACTCTCCCTTTGTCTCCTGTGCCGGATKATTCATTTGCCTTGCAGTGCCAAGCCTGTGCATCGTGTGACTCCAGCTGATCGCCTCGCCTCGAGTTATTCCTTCTATGTCCCTTTGTATTGTGAGTTTTGTGCCTCGACACCATTTCAGTTGTACTTTTGTTCCTGAGTCTTTTCCCATTTCTATGGAGATTTTTAGTTGCTACTTTTCCTAGAGAGCTTTTGCGTTGTTACTTTATTTTTTGAGTATTTTCCTGAGGAACTGTCCTCCCTCCTTTCGTTTAATAAACTCTTTTGTTGAACTCTGCAACTGGGTCCTGACTTCCCTGACTAGCCCATAACAGTTGGCCCAACCTGAAGCAAAAACAGTTGAATAAAGATGAGAAGAGGGTAGACTCATTCATCATGTTGCAGCTGGGTTTTCACCTGGTCTGGGTCGTAACAGCAGCTATCTGATAAGCGTGTTCAGATTTTTTCTTCCCTGTCCCTAACCAAATGTACACATTTTACAGAATACTGCATCCTCACTAATACTGCACCAAAAGAATGCATACTTGTGCCCAAAAACTGTTGTGGGTACTGTTTGAGTTTGAGTGTTATAGATATAGAGTGTTGTTGAGCTGACAAGTCCACTAGAGACATCAAGGAAGTAGTAGTCCCAGTGGATGAGATTGATGAAGGAAGGATATGGACATGAACCAAATCCTTAAGAACTTGACTGATTAGCTATCATGTGTGAAATCTGGACCATCAATCAGATAGTAGCCTAATAAATGTCTTTGTTAATTTGAAGTAAATTTTAATAATACATTTTTTAAGAGAATATGTTTTCCCAGTAATTGTGGGTGGGTGGGCCAGACCTGTTAAGCCCAACCATGTCAGACGCAATCCTATTGAATGAATCGAGGAGCTGTTCGCCCTCTAAAATCTGATAAAGTGTGATTATTCCTTGTTCTTGTTCAGAGATTTTCTAGCTGTGAGAGAAGTGATGGCATGCCAGGCTGGATAAATATGTTGTTTTCCAATGAAATACATCTGTATTTATATAGCGCTTTTCTAGTCTTGGCGACCACTCAAACAGCTTTACAGTATGTTTTTTTGTCATTCACTCATTCATACGGTGGATTTATGGGGAGCACTTTTTCTATGAGGAGCATTTCGGGGTTCAGTATCTTGCCCAAAGGACATGATATGGGATGATTAAAAAAACACACAACACACAGCATATTTACAAATATGAAAACTGACCAAGAGGAAGGAACATCCCAGAGGAACCGTCTGTCAGCGTTCACACTTGTTGCCAGGCCTTTAGCAGGTAACAGGCCCATCACACGCCGACCACTGGGATCACGACCAGAAAACTCCATACCCAACATGCACTGCTGCAGAGCCATACCCCCTACAGAAAGTACAATGAAAAGGAAAATGTAATAGATTGTGAGAGCTTGATGTGCAAATTGACAGATTTGATGTCTATTTCTGTGTCTGCTGTAGAAATAGTCTTCTATGCACACCTGGAATAGCGTCTGGTGGTAGTTTGCCAGTTGCAAGCATTATATCTCTGAAGTTGAGTGAGCTATAGTACACGCAACATTGTTGCATTTCAGAGTTGTTGGCCACAGAATGACAGAGTGGGGAGGCAATCCATCGCAGAGTAGATAGGTCACCTCGAGTCAACACGTTGATGTAGGCCTGCTCTGTCAACTCTTCATTTTGATCTGGCAATCACAAAACACAAACAAATGCTTTAATGAAAGGTTAAGCCATTAAGATATATCATAAACTCTTTTCAACAGAGAGGTGGCATGTCACAAAGGAAAACAAGTTATTAGCATCAAACTGAGCTGGACATTTGTCTTGTTCATTATGAAACTGTGGCAGGACAAATCAAAATATGGTAAACCGCCACAGTCTAAATAATTAATGAGAAACTTGGCAAGATAGGGCATATTCGAGGTACCTGTACATGTTCTCAGAGCGCCATTCCAGTTTGCACTGTTTATTTTATTTTTTTCAATCAAGCACTTTATTTTGAGATACACAATTTTTTTCAAATATTTCTGTTATGTATTCTTTTAGTTGACATGATTAACAATCCCTCCATTTCAATGTGAAAACTGACCAATAAATATTAGTTCATTATATCATATTAAAAAAATATTATATTGGGCCCCAAAGGTATCAGCAGGTTGCAGATTCATAAAGGTATGTTCTGTTTTAAGGAATTATACAACCTCCCCATCAAGAGATCTGTATAAGCAGTATATCCAAAACTGTCGGGAAAACAGAGGGACCTGCCCGTGCTCAGAATGTGAACAAGACTTTAGACTTTGGTCTAAAGGGTACGTGCTTGACTGCAACTGACAACCTTGATGTCTGACTGTCTCTGTTGGCAGTAGAAACTTTATGGAACATCATGTAAGCATGCTCACAGCAGTATAATGTAGCAATGTAGCAAAAAAACTAGTGAGAAATCTCTTATGAAAAATTTAAAAAATCCTAAAATGTTTTGGTTCATTATGAAACAGTGGAGGGACAAATTAGGATATAGATGGCCTGCAAAGTCTAGATAATGAGAAACCTCTTTATATACAGTCTATGTGAGAAACACTGCTTTGACATGGAGAAATAGAGCATTAGCTTTGGGGGCAGTATATGCTCTCAGAGAACCCTTCTTGTTACCTCCAACCTCCAAGGAGGTTATGTTCTCCCCAGCGTTTGTTATTCTGGCCCATACTTAGCAAAGTTGTTACTGTACAAGAGCCATTGGCGTATCATGGAAGATACACCAATTTTCTTCATAGAATAATGTGCAGACTGTTTTCTCCATTGATGAACTGATTGCAATGATAAATGCAAATAAATAATGTAAATATCTGACTTAATCATGTGTAATTTCAGCTGCAGGCCACGTGCAATAACACTGTGGGACTTTCAACCCTTTTCTTTTCTGTGCAATAAACACTTTCAGGGCATCACCGGTGCAATAAAACTCTTTTGTATACCAGATATATCAGTACACTATTTATTCTGTACAGTTTGCCACTTCCCCAAAATAAAACCCTTAGTGTAATATCTGTTTATAACTGTGCAATATAACACTTATGCATATTACCTGTATGTATTGGTACATTATTGGTACAATTATTTATTTGTATAGTATATCTGCATCTTTAAATGCCTTTGGTCCTGGAATACCCTTATTTTTATTTCAATTTGTGTAGTGGATTGTGTCCTGTTAATTGTTTGGCATCGAGGAGGAGGACTGTGCTACAATTTTGTTGTGCTAGTGTACAAAGTATGACTGTGCAATGACAATAAAGTCTTTTGAATTGAATTTCAATTTCAATTGTTTAGTTCATTAATACTCTTAAAATAGTGAGAAAAGGCACTACAACTGCTCCGGACAATTATTAAAATTGTTGCCAATTTACTGTAGGTGCGTAACAGCGCAGCTAAAAAGATCCTGTTAGCCAGGAAAGTTTATGTGTGTGTTTCTTTATGATTTCTGATTGGGGTTTATATGTGTCTGCTTGTAAATCAGAGGTCAGACAAAGTAGACATGTGAGAAATTATTATGATTATTGCACATGGCCAACTATTTAAATGTTCATACGTGTTTTCATTCGGAATTAAAGCTATGAATATGGCATAAACTTTGATCTGCTTAGGTATGGTGTTCTGCAAGAGCAAATACTGTATGTTCGAGGTGTCACCCTCCTTTGGTATATGGTAAATTTGTACAAATGGCATGCAGACTGGAGAAGCCGGGGATCGACCCCCCCATTCTCTGGTTAGTGGATCTGTGGTTCCACTCTCTGACCTGATCCACAATTAATGTTGTCGACAACAGATATTGTAGATGTCCATCCATTCATGTTAGGAAACAATGCAGGGAGGTAAAAAAATTGGCCTCATTCGCCAACCGTTCTTATTGTTCATTCAACAACTCAGAGGTGTTCAATGTAAAGAACATTCTAAAAGATTGCAATAAGAAGACAGAAAACCCACTCAAATATTATGACATTCACCAATGTTTTCTTATCTGGAATCTCTTCTGTATAAAAGGTATAAAAAAATCAGACCAGCCAACGTGACTGACCTGACACGGATAACCATTGTTGCACTGTTTTACAATAGAGATGTATGGTGAATGGTCTGCATCAGAACCACATTAGTTAAACCAAATAATAAGTGATATTTTTATATATAGGTACCGGAAGTGATGAGCTGGTGTCGGAAGACGCCCCAGTGTCCATCTCTGAACACATTTACAACCAGATCTCTTTCCAGCACTGACTTCATGGACTCAGGATCCAGTTGGAGGCTTGGTGCAACTGAAGACTCATTTAGATTGGACACAAATGCACAGCTGGTGACAAATAAGTAGGAAACCGAGAAAAGGACATTAAAAAACAGAACACAGAGCAAAAAAAGCAAATCCTTGAAAGTGAGAGCAGTAGAGTCATGATCATAAATATAGAAAATATTCAACCAATATATACAAATAACTATTACATATGGTATATCAAATTTATTTCAAGTTATAAATACAGTAGAATGTAGGCCAAATTCTAGTCCTCTGTCAACACTAGTGCGGGATATTGTATCATAGAGGATATGTCCTACCGTATTCGGCTGCCACCTGGCTCCTGCCGTAAACAGTTGACCATTCCCACAATGCCACAGTTGGCCTGAGAGGCAGTCAACCACACTGGACAGTCTGATGTCTCTGCCATCATTGCCTGCCAGACAGATCCACACAGTTACTCACAGTCATGACTAAAGTATGTTAATGATGACTGAAGTCACAGTTCTGACTTGAAACTCACAGAAGGATGTAGAACCCACCTTGAGTGTTTCCACCCAGATGTAGTCAGTAGTATCCACAGAAAGGAAAATAGGCTGTTTGGCTGGAGACTGGCAGCGACAAAGAAAAAGGGCTGAGCCATAAAAAGACTTCCTGACAGCCACCAGACTGAGGGAGACCTCAGAGAAGACCTTCTCCCACTCAACCTTGAGAGAAGAAGGAGATATTATCAGTAAAACATTACCCCCACTCCCATAAAGTGATGTTAGCATCTCCAAGAGAATGTCACTGAAAATGAAATATTATGTATTTGAACTTCCAGCTTCAGAAGATTTGACTCATATAGGTTGACAAAATTATGCCTCTATCAAACGGTGAACTGTTTTTAGAGTTATCGGTGCAATAAAATACACAAAAATGATAAAGGGTATTTATAGTTTCTTTAAATGATTAGAAACCTGTTAACCTGTGTGAGTAGTCCTTGCTGGTTGCTGCTCTGGGCTGTGTTGGAAAGGAAGGCCACTGTTTCAGCCAGTGTCTCTCCTTTCAGCAGGGTGTGGAGGAGAACAAACCCTCCGTGTTTGGCTCCAGAAGACAGATTTGCCACCAGCAGTTTAGGGTCCATCCTCAGAGGGCCCCAAGCGTGATTACACAACACTAGGTCTGACCCGCCTATCATACTTCCAGGAGCCGGGCCCATCAGAGGATCCCACTGAGCTGAAGTAACCGCCAGCTCCTCTAAGGCTGCTTGGTGGGGGGTCAAAAGATCCAAGTTGGACGCCGTGGCGGTGTAGTCCACACGTAGCATGGGCTGGACATTTAGGAGGGGTACCACATGAGAGAAGAGCTGGCCATCATTAGTTAGAGCCTGTTAGGGTAAAATAAAGATGGTTTAAGCATAATGCAGTCATTCTGCATCTGAATAAAATTTGCTTATTCTTTACATAAGACTTATTGTGAGTTTTCAGTTTTACCTCAAGGACTTTGATCTTGCCGGGTATGCTGTTTTCCAAAGCGATGTCCAGGCAGTGTCTGAGAGCATGGTTGTTTAGCAGTCCCTGCAGCAGGCTGTCTTGCAGCAAACATGCCCTCTCCTTCTCCACCAGCTGTTCCAGTTCAGACTGAAGATTCCCATTCAGCTCCAAGGCACAGAGCAAGGCCAGCAGCCGCGGCAGGCCGGGCTGACTGGGCTCAAGGCATGGAAATGGGCTGTCTGACTCCACTTGTAGCCCAGGGATGGAGAGCTTAACACCATGAGGGGCCAACTTTTGCTGCAGTCTGTGAATTAAACCTGGAGAGAGTGGGATTAAGTGTAAAAAGCAAAAAGAAGCAAATTAAGAAAATTACTTTCTTTGCAGAAAAACTCAGAGGTGTTCAATATAAAGCACATTCTAAAAGATTGCAATAAGGAGACAGAAAATGTCAGTGAAAAAAAATAAAAATAAAGATAATATAAGCCTTCTTAATACTTCTGAGAGCTCAACGTGAATGATACCTGTAAGACCTAAACAACAAATGGTTTGGAATGGTTGCCCTATAAGAAACAGCAGTGTTAAACAGACCTTGTTTCTTTGGACCTTACAGACACAATGTTAAGATTATCATAATTGTGGTTGTTTGATCAGCAGGAAATTTTTCTAATGCCTTTGGCTGGTTCTGGCTTTATAAAATAAATGATGCCATCAAATACTATTTATAAATCTGATGGACACTCTTATATACAAGATCTCAGAGTTAATGAATCATCAACAATAATCAACACCCCTATTTTACACACCTTTGCACCTTATATATCAACTATATAGTTTATATTTCAAATAGGTGAAATTGTTTTCGAGTAACACTTTAAGTAGAAGCCTTCCCACTATGTATACTGCTGTAGAACATTGCAGTCCAAGAAGAAAAGAAGAGGATTCTACACCTAGGTTGGTAAATAATAGACACCTCTTCAGCCCCTTGGAATCCAGTATCTTCCATTGCCACAGTAAGCTTATGTATTTATGTATCATACTACTGCATAGCTGTAATTTAAAATAAATATTAAATTAAATCACTAAAAGGTGTTTAAAACGAAAACTGTTATCCAAAGTGATGGAGCGTTATACATCGCAACGATTACAAAGGATTTTTATTTGTATACCTTTGCAGATTCTCAGCTGCTCTGTAAGTTTCCCATTGGCTGTTAGGCACTCTGTCTCCACATAGGGAACAAACAGAAATTCCTCCAGGGTTGGTGGACTCTGTTGATGCTGCCGACGTGGGGCAACAGTGGCATGCAGACCGCAGATTTGGACTCCACCAGCTACCACATTGTCAAGGCAACTGTCTACATGGATATCCACAGCTAGAGAAATTAAAGAGATAAAAGTTTGACTTTGGAGTTTACATGAACAGCATGTAAATGTGTTTCTAATAACATCTGTAAAATCTGTCAACAAGTAGGCTATTACGCACACACGCAGGCGTATTGAGTTGCCTTAATTGCACACACATGCGCACACACACACACACACACACACACACACACACACACACACACACACACACACACACACACACACAGGTGAGAGTACACACACACAAACAGACACATTGGCACTGTATATAAAAACACTGACATGCCTGTTTTGATTGGGCTGTTTGCTGGGCTAGAGTTAATGCCAGTTGCAGCTTTCTTTCTAAAAGCGTGACCTACAGTACTTGAGTCACAGCAAGTAAAGATCAGCTGCGGGAAGCCAGTCTTTACTTACTTTCAAAGTTCAGTGAAGCTTGAGTCAGTGTGCAGAACCCCAAACTAGAGAATCAGTTGTTGTTAGCATGAACACACCTGTTGTCATAATCAACAATGCATTATGTGTCGCCACTGCTAGAGCATGCTGGTTGCCTGTTTATTCATGGTTTAATAATACTGAATGTATCGCCATTCCAATTCCAAATTGTTTCCAAATTTGACGCTACATTTCCTTGAGCCCTTAACAATCCACGTGCTAAGCATGAAGCCAATAAGATGAACGTTTCATGAGATATGCTACTAATAATGAGCAGATACGTATTATCTATTCAAATTGGCTGTGAATACAATAATAACACACACCCTGTTTTCCATCAGTGTACTCGCAGATCTTTTCCAGATGGACAGCTGGATCAATACAAACTGAGCGTATCCTGGTTGGCAAGCGCAGACTTCGACCAGACAGCCCCACTACAATCATCTGCAACATGGTGTCCAGAAATGTCACCCAGTTTCCTGTCCACAGCAGCTTCCCTCTATCTCCTGGAAACAGCCAATTAAATGACAATTGAAGCAAAAGCATTGTATAGCAACAGATTTTTATTTTAGGCTGGAAGATACTATCATATTGCATATATATTTCTATTAAAAACAAAAAAACATGTAATAGTAATCTAAACAATTCAAGAAAACAATACACAGTTATTACTTACACCTATCCCTTTTACCTGAATTGTTTGACTCCAAGATGCCTTGGAAGGACTTTCCATAGTCATAGCCACGCAGTCGCAGCTCTTTGTAGATATCATATGTTGTCAGCTTCACTTTCGGGTCACCATTATCATAAGCAGCTTGCTGACTTATCTGACTATGGAGTGAATTGAGGGCGGCATCCTCCAGAATGGTCACCTTGCCTGAAATAAAACCAATTTTTTTAATTAGATAGAGCTTTTATAGTCTTGATGACCAGTCAAAGTGATTTACAACACAGTTTTACATTCACCCATTCATACAGTGCATCTATGTGCAGAACCTTTCTCTATGAGAAGAGGCAATTTGGGATTCAGTATCCCGCCCAGGAAACTTCGGCATTCGGAATGGGGAGACTGGGATCGAAACTGCTGACTCTCTGGTTAGAGGACAACTGCTTTAATCCCTGAGCCATAGCTACCCAGAAGATGCAGAATAAAAACATAGAAACTTTCTTTCATCTTGTCCATGATCTAACAAATTGGTGTCCGTTACCACAGGCCAAGCAAACACCCTATTCCAAACAGGCAGGTTTAGAACAGGCACTGCACTATCTCTATATGATTGCTTCACTGAGTGGAAATATGTAATTAAATACTGTTGGCCAAATGACCATCTTTGGAAACATAAATTACTTTTATGAAAAAAAAAGTTTATACTCTAGAAATTAGGTGGATGCTCAATGTCACTCGGCA